ACACCCTGTTTTCTTCTCACCTCCCCAAAGACTACACTCACCAAAAAAGTCAATGGAAGCTTTAACACAAGTATAACGCAGCTGCTTCTGTTATCTGCATCTTTGCTAAAACCCATACTCATCAGCAGTTGAATGTGAAAACCTAGGATTTGTGATACCGTGTAGGCTGAGGGATAGGTATAGATCTTTCTGTTGGCTGACACTTGAGGGTACCCCAGTGTCAGACAGAGCTGGAGAGGCAGCAGGGGAATCTGGTGTATTAGTTTTCATTAATTACTGTGGGAGAGAAAGTCATCCTTGGTGTTGTGGGGTAGGTTTATAGAGAATATGCATAGATTTCCATTTGAATTAAATATTTTTGTTATAATTGAAAAGATTACCAGAGTACCAATGTGATGCAGAAACCCTTTCATGTTAGTGAAGGTTTGTCTTTTCCTGGCACCAAAGTGTTGGTTGAACCAACAACCTCTTGAAAAACGAAGAATGCAGTTGCAGAGACAGACTTTCTGTTTGTCTGGAGCACATATAACCCTTAACTGAATCTAATCCATCAATACCTGCCTTGAAATACCTGATTTTCTGCTTGGCTCTCTATGTAATATGTATTTAAGCAACTGAAATAAAATTTATACAGTAACACAGCATACATACATTTGTTTTATGCTAAGAAGCATATATAAAATGGTAGTGGAAGTAATTCTGATTTCTAAGGAAGTTGGAATATTTAACCATTAAGATGTGTATAAAGTGTATTTTGTCAGCAGTTAGGGTTTACATTTGAGCACAACTGAGTTGAAGTTCATTTAATATTGCTGAAAAATTTGACTTGCTGGATTTTAGTCGAAATAGAAGTAGTTCTCCAAGATAAAATTGTAATCAAGATTTCAGCCATTTCATATCAAGATCTCACTAGACTACTATCTCTACATATTTTTTGTTGGCTTTACCCACTGAAAAAAAAAAGAGGAAATAGGCACTTTCTGGGTTTAGAGCACACATGGAATATGATAGGATCAGACATCTTAGGATTCAGGTTCCGGGAAGGCTTTTCTAGTAACTAAGAGACCCTTTGAAGTCTTTAAAATGAGATTCCAAAGGCAACAGAGCATGGAAAGTCCTAAAGCATCATCTAGTCTTAGTTAAAAAACTGCTTGAGTAGAGTCAAAACAAACTCTGATTTTTGCTACCTTTTTTCTGAACAAAATTAAGTAAATCTGGCAAAATTTTGAAGCACAAACTGAAATGAAGGAAGGAGTAAACAGTGATAAGGAGTGATTTATTTTTCTATCAAAGATTAAGAGCTAGCAAATTGCCTTGTTATCTCCAAAATCTGTTCAGTCTATCTCATGTTACAGTCATGAATTCAAACTGTGTGTTTTGTGTGCCCACTTAGATTATTTTCTTTTACAAGATGCAGAATTTATTTTTTGTTAAAACGATTTGGGCTTCGGCAAGTTATAGTAAGTTTTTGTCAAAGAGAAACTTTTTTATGAACAATGACAGTTTTTTCTGGGTGACCTAACCTCTAGGCTGCTGCCTAATTCTTGCTTTAGTTTTTCTGTGGATGACTCTCAGTTCTTACTCTGCCATTTCGTTTTCAGATTGAAAGCAAAGCTGTCAGGTGCAAAGTGATTTCTCCTGCTTAGTGGAGATCACTGTCCTCTGATTTGATTAGTTCACTCTTGAGTTATCACCTTTATGTCCACCAGAAGGCTCTACTGCTTTCTGAAATGTGCACAGAACCATGTTCTTTGGTACCTAACAGGGTCAGCACTGTTGTAAACAGGATCTGGCAATTTGCTTGCACTGAGAGAGCAGACACGTATTTCTTTAATTAAGCAATTAGATTCTAATGTTTTTTTTAAGTAATTGAATGATAAATACAGATTATTTAAAATTTATGAGTGAGGATTGGTTCAGCATTTAGTTATGTCATGAAATTTGAATCCGTACACATTTAATACAGTGGCTGTTAAAAACCTTAGAAATATTAACACTTTCACTATTTGTGCTGTTACTTTCATAGTATATGTGTGTATATATTTTTTTATTCTGTAACTAGAGAAGTTTGAAATACCATGACCCTAATTCCTCACCATCTTGACATTCTTACTGTTACAGTCCCAACTGATAAGAGAACCTCTGAATTTTGGCATTTGCCAAAGTTGTGATGAAGTTATCCTTCTACAGACTTTTCTCAATGTGAAGTTTGTTCTTCACAATATTCATGCTTCACACCTCATGGGCTGAAAAACAGTAGTTCATTTGATCTACAAAACTGTCAGGGCAGCTTCCTTTATGAAGCTAAGTTATGACAAGTAAAAATATGATTTTTTCTTATTTTATTTTAGTAGCACAAGTTGGTGAATTCAAAATGGAAAAGAATTCCTTTTCTTTATTAAGTGGAAAATTAGGATAAAATGAGACAAGCAACACTTTTAATGTCCATTGATTAGTTTGACTGTAGAAGTTCTGGCATTCCATCCTAAGAAATAGGTTTGCTTTACCTTTTACTAACTTTCAGAACTGGAAATCATGGAACAAGGATGTTGGAACACACGCATCCTTTTCTTCTATATGGTTTTAAAATTATGCTTTTCAGAGAACCTGGATAAAAATAGCCTGTTTAAACTTTTAATGGTAAATTTTTTTCCTTAGGTAAGGTGTACTAGTCCAGGTGAGCATTATTTTTTCTGGGTTTTTTGTTTGTTTGCTTTGCTTTTTACCCCCTCATATTATTTTCTTTATGGTTATTGATTTTAGTAGAGAGCTATAAGCATATTTTCAGAAAGGCTGTTTACATCTTTTGTTGAACAAAGGGTATGACAACAAGTGTTCCTATAATAATTCTACAATACTAATTTCTTTACTTTCTCAGAAAATCCAGATTATCAGTGTTCACATTTTTCTAGTCCTCTTTGTCTATATTTGCTTATTCTACTTGTCCAACAAAAGCATTTGAGTGTTACTATTTAAGATACAATAGATAAATTAGAATATTAGACTTAAGATGGTGGGAACTTCTACATATGTCAGCCAATTTGAAGATAGTTCATCACAGTGCACATCAGTTACCGGATAACCACTACAATTTCATTTGGTTTTTATCCTCATACTCTTTGCATTTACCAGAAAAATGATTGTTTTGTTATATTTTTTCCACTGCAGTATAAACGTAAGGGTTTAGTGACTTGAGTTTGCCTTTCCGTAATCTGTAATAGTGAGTTATCATCACTAAATTATCATGAAATGTTCAGAAAACTGAAGAGACTGCATCATTGGCACAAGAAGATGTGGTGTTCTCTAATGGGCTGACTACAGAGTGTTTAAAGGTGTCATTACTGTGCTTAAGCAGAATGGCATCCTTCAAAGAACTGAGAACCTCTTAATGAATTTGAAATAATGCTAAATTGCTAATGAAATTTTACTTAAGCATCATGGAACTAAAAAAGCAATTCTGTATAATTAATTTCTCAGCTCTAAATGCTGTCATAATGTGTTTGTAAATAATAACAAAAAAAATATTGATTACTGTGAGTATTCACTTATCTGCATTAATTCAGAAAAATCAATTTCAACAGTCAGTAACATTTTTCCAGTGATTTTTATGGGAACAGCATTTCAGTTCAAAACTAGCCGTATGGGTCTCTATTGTAGCAATGCCCTCCTGAAACTCCAAGGGAGTCTTCTTGAATATGGACCAAATAATTTAGTTGGCTGCTGGCCATGTGTTGTCTTTCAGAGGAATATGGTTATTCACTATGTAATAGTGTAGGAAGAAAGGAGACATATGGAAACAAATTTTAAAAGAAACAGTAACGTTAGTCAATGCAGTTTTAGCCACACAAGTTGCCAAGCACTTAATGTAGTCAAGAGGTAAAGAAATAAATTATGAAGCCCACTAGCCAGTCGTGTAGCACGCGAAAGTGCTGCTCTGATAGAAAACAAGCACTCAGCTTCAGCTGTAGGCTGAAACACACTAACAGTTCTTGAAGTTTGATTTATGGATTTCTTTTGCTGCTGCTGTTATAAAAAGCACACTGTTATATACAACAAATTAAAACTTTTTTAAACAGCATTCTTGGAAATATATTTGTCCTTTTATTTGTCTCTAAACACTAAACCAGCATGTCCCTGGCCCCTTTTAGTTCTAATTTTGTTTTGAAATATTCAGTATAATCCTATGTATTTTCCTGTTGCATCTTAATAAAGTAATATCTTTTCAAGCAGATGTCGTGTTTCTCTAAATAGACAATACATTTGTAACAACAAAAAAGACAAAGGGGCAAAAATAGTGCCTATAAAAATTGATGTCTTCAAATGTAAATGATTATATAGGTATTTGTGTGAAAAATACATATTAATACAACAATTCTTTTTCCAGCTCAGACTTTGTATTTGGTACAGCTTCATAAAATATTGTATGTATTTTCTCTCTAGATGAGTCATGGTTTTGGAAGAAAGGAGGGAGAATATTTTTTCAGCATCATGATCATTGTAATAATGAACTGCAGAAACTATAATAGATTTTGTTCCTGGCTTGGCAAACTATCTGAAAGATTTTGCAAGAGTTTACATAATTCTTTCCATTAAACTTTCTAGTATTGCTATATTTTAATTGTTAACTCAAACACACCAAACTTTTAGATAGTTCGTGCACTATATAAATGTGGTTTAATGTTTCAGGAGTATTTTATGAGGAGATTGGTGGTTATACATTTTTGTACGTACAACCTTAGTTCACTTGTTAAAATAGGCTCTCTGTTTGCTAATAGTTCCCAGCTGTAACTAATACATTAACAAATCTACAATGTAGTATTTAAAATGACGCATTTCAAAATCAATAGCAAATGTCCTGCTGTATGATTAATTGGAAAACTTGTTTTACACAGTGGTCAGTACACGATACAGAGCTCTTTTGGGATTATGGTAAATCAAGAAATAGGAAACAATGATGTGTAAATTTCAAAAAACTTAGGAAAAGCAAAAATATTACTTACTGTAGTTGTTGTTTGCTTCTCTTGTCCCTTTCACTTTCCCTCGCTTATCAATCCTCATATACCACTGAGTTCGACAGAAAAGTCTTCTCACTCTTACATCCCCCCCTTCCATATAATCATAGCTTCTGGTATGTCGCTCAGGGCTGGAACAGTTCACATTTGTAGCCATTTGCTCTGGAGTCATGTCATTGCAAGCTAAAGATATAGTGCCCATTAGAAAGATAATGTAAAAGTGTGATCTGTAGAGCAAAATTGGCAGGATCCATGTCAGTATCCATTTGTGCATTATAGTGCAGTGTTCTGGGTGTTCATGAACAACATAATGAAAATTAAATCTCAAGCAGACTGTTGCTCTTAGGTCACCGACCTGCCTTCTGTCTTTATGAGTTACAGATTCATTTAAATGAGATTGCTCTCTCTTCTAGAATTCTGATCGTTATTCCTTAATAGTTAATGGCGAAATAGAAGAGCTTCTTAAATATCTCTTCAGTCAGAATATCCTTTAAAGACACAAGTTATAAAAACCTTTGTTGTTGTGACCTTCTTTACTACTTGAATTTGCAGCTTGCACTGAAAGTAAAAGATCTGTGAGAAAAGGTGCATGTGTAAGTCGTTATGCTTAATTGTTACAAACATGCAAGGATACATTATGCTAATGAAAAGTACTACACAGAAATACATGACATGCTGAGCTCATTTTAAAAAATATGCTAATGCATATACAATAGATATAGCTCATACAACTTTTTACATAACCAGACATTTACACTGATTGTAAACACAGTTCTCTCTTCAGTTATAAGTCCTTCAAAAAATTTCCTATTGATTCATTTCAACTCTCATGCATGATAAAATTCTCCTGATTACTTCATGCCTATACATTTACTATTAGCACAATCTATCATGTAACTTTTCTCTACCTTAGGTTTCAAAACAGACCTCATGGCTTTATCCCTGTGTTTTTATTCCTACCCTTTTCAGATTATTAGTAGCAATATATTTCTATAAATATTTCTTAATTCTTTTTTTAGCATCTAGCATATAGAAATAAAGATAAGTTATTAGCTAGTAGAAACTGTTGAATGATCTTTTAAAGGACAGATAACTTACTTGTTCCTGTTGATAAGAGCTGGATACCCAAGTACTCCATTTCTGTTGTCTCCTTTTTGCAACATGAGACACTCTACTGTAGCTACAAACTTTCTCAGCTCAGAAAGACTCCACCAGAATTATAATTGTTTCCATAAATCAACACGCTGGAGAGATGGTGTGTATGTGCTTATGCGTGCGCGTGCATGTGTGTGTTGAGCCTGTTGTTCAGTCCTTTTCGATAAATACCTTTGCTGACCTCACTTGGAAGCAATTAGAATTTAACCAGTCAGCTGTCAGTTGAATGCACGAACAAAAGTAAAAGGAGACTTGCATTGTATCGTGTCCAATGGTCATCAGAGGGAGCTATGTACATAGCTTATGCTTTAAATCTCCAAGAATCTTCTTTCTAAAAACATATATTTTGTGCTGCGTGGATAGAATTGCTTCACATGCTAATTAGTCTTTCTGTGGTCTGGTTTAGGTCAGTATTTTTCTGTCCTTAAAAAATTCCTCCTCTTCTCTTTTGTACTCACATGCTTATCTCAGTGTGCTTTCAAATCTCTTCTGCAGTTTGGTGGATTCATAGTCTGCTTAGTGCCTTTCTGAAGGATATATGGAACGTGGGTCTGTTAGGTACTGTGGAGAAGAGTGTGCTGTAGCCATTAGAGATCATGAGGTATATTTTTATATCGTGGATTTGAGAAGGGGGACCACGGCACTGAGGTTTTATTTGATCAGCCACTAGGTGAAAATGGGAACGTATATTTGGATGTTTCAAAGTCTGACATTCAAACACAACAGTTATCAGCTTGAAGGAAAATTTGCTACTAGGGAACAGCCTTTCTTAGCGTATGTAGTTAGTTCTGGGAACTCACAGAGGATGAAAACCGGGAGCAGTGTAAGAAAACCCCTAAAACTGCACACCAAGCAACGGGCTTAAAATCTAGAGAATCAAAATAAGGGTTATTATTTTGATACACCTGGTTTTCTGCTTTTGTGTACCTATTTCCCTCTCTGGCACCAGCCTGCTTATGTTCCATTTCACCCTGAAAATCTGTTGAGTTTCTGATGATTGTATTTGTAAAACACACGGAAGCAAAGTTTTCAGTAGCTCTTTATCCTGTTTAACTTCCCCACTGTTGATGTAAGTGCACCTCAGTCCCTTTAGTAAGAAATATCAATAAGGAAAGTTTGGAATCAATCCAGTTGTTAAGATTAATTTACTTATGTTTAATTGTTTATGTTTGATAATATAATGCAGTTTATCATTCCATGCTTTTATCCCATCTCCACTCCCTTTCTCCCTCTATAATGGGGTAGCAGTTACTTATTAAAAATTAATTTAAATGTAGAGGCAGTTAAAAATCTCAGGGAATACTTATGTGCCACCTTGTGGTGAAGGGGACATGAGTTAACAGGGTGTTTCACTGGACTGATCCAAAATTAGCACAAAGGTGCACCAGGCAAACTTGTAGTACTCAGCCTTTCCTGTACACACAGAGAATGAGTAATTTCCTTCTTTAACATCAACAGCCTCCTTGTCAGCACTCACATGGATCAATCCCATTTGTCACTCGCTTTGCATTCTTTTTTAACCATTTTCACACATAGTCCAAAGTTGATAGATTTGTCTTGTTATCTCTATTTCAGCATATTGGGCTGTTTTCTGTGTTCTGTAGCTCAGCCTAATTTTCCTACTTTAGCAATAGACTCAGTATATGCACCTTTCTGATATGAAAAATGTGCTGCTGAGGGCTTTCAAAGGCTGCATACCTGCAGCTGATACACAAAGAAGTGGCTTTCATTAATTAACTCTTGTAAACTGTGATCACAGCTGTCTCCATTTTGACCTCTGTCTTGTCAACCCATGGCCACCATTCTGACAAGAAGTGGGGACTGAAGTGACTTATCCCACTTGTGGCTTTTGCAGTATGTTTGCTGGATTTATAGCAGCATGTTCTCTGACCCATTCCACAGTCTGAATTCAGAATGATAGCAATGAAAAAAATTTGTGGTATTCAAAAGGCTTATCTCTTGTGTATTATAAAGAAAGCAATCAAGGATAAAAGGTAATTGTGTTTTACTCAGCAAAATAGGATGCAAGTAGAAATGTTTTTGTAAATATTCTGGGTCTTTTATGTCCAATAACAGTCTGCACTTTCAGATTCATACTGGTTTTAATTTTTCTTTTTCCTTGCTAATGTATTGTTTCTGACAGTTAGTACCAGGAGAAAAAATACATACCTGAGGTTTCAGTTCCAGAAAGCTGGAGCTATTCGTGGTCCAGGCATAGCCATGTATTTCTCTTGGCTCTGAAAAAATAAATCACTTGCTGTAAGTGTGTTTTCTTAAGTGGTGCCTCACTTCTGATCTCTGTCAAATTCTGTAGTTAAGAATAAATGAAAAGTGGCTTAGATAAGGCACTAGCTCTAATTTTATTTGGTGAACAATGCAGTTACTCTTTAATTATTGTTAGCATCCATATCCTTGTATTTTATAATTACAGAAAAATATCTTTCCACCATGCTTTAGCTGCAGTTTTCCTTAATCACACATTTTTATATTTTGCTACACAACAAGTCTGACTGTAATTTTTAATAGAGGTATGCCATCTTGTTGTGCATGTGTACATCAGGCTTCTCTGCACGTATCTCTAAGCCTCTGGATGGCCCTACATGCATCTGATAAATCAAGCATAACTAATATCTCTCTCAAATTAATCTGGTTTAGGTTTAGAGAAGATTTAGCTAGACTGAAACTTGGTACTCTATCTATTTAATGAGGTGAATGCCCAGGTCTTTGCATTACAATCCCAAGCAAATCTTTAATAATATATGGAATTTTTCCACCTGAAATGCTTATGATTTTCTGTTTCTTTGGTGATGTATTCAGGTTTCAGGACCACAGGAAACATGGAAATGTGCAAAATGCACATGCTGTAAGCCATCCTTTAATATTTAAAGCATGTACTGGTGCCTCCTTCCTGTTGGTAAGTTTTCCACAGCACTGTTACAGTGCACATGCTGAAAAGGAAAGTGGAAATGAATTCCAAGCACTTTGCTTCTGATTGTAAAGATTGTGCATAGGTCTCCAGTTAAAATAGAGCTTAAGTTTATTCCCTTTTATTTTACATAGGAAATTACTTTTTGTCCTTTCAGATGAAAACATGACCATAAAGACCTATGCTTTCCTCATCTCCAGGCTGGCCTGCTGCAAGTTTACTGCCCAGCTGTGGCATTGGGTCATGAATGTGACTTTTAAAAACCTCCATTTTGTCTAGTTTCCCTTTGGGGCAACACATCCCTGCTAAGAAACTTATCATTCCTTTCCTCCTTGTTCCTTGATCCATTTCAAATTTGTTTTAGAATACCTTTCAGAACTTCCAGAGTTTAAGACAGTAGGAAGGTAAAAATCTCTGTATCAGACTTTAAACCAAAGATCTTGGGTTTTAATGCCCTGAAGCAATAGCTAAAATGGAATTGGAAGGTCCCAGGGAAAAAATACCATAGATGTGAAGGTGCTAAATATTCTTGTGATTAAATCCTTATCCACAGTTTCCAAATCTCAGAAATCAGGATCAGATCTGTTATTACTGTTATTACATGCAAAAGATACAAGAAAAGTGCTACTGTTTGAGCAAATCTTTGGTCAACATTGCAGTATCTGAGAAACACTGCAACATGCATGGGAAATAAACTCATATGATGCGGGAGTAAAAGCAAGAGAGACAAGGAATATGTACTTCAGTTTGGATTTATCTTTTCAGGTTGTAAGAATCAGATTAAAAGCTATAACTATGAATCTTTTGTCTCCCTGACTCTAAGAATGTATTTTTGGTTTTGGTAACTGGTATGGATTATTAAAATCATATTGAAAAGACAACAGCAATTTTTTCCTTGCAATTTTCAAAACAGATCTCTTCAACATCACTCTTTTTTTTGTTTCCTCCTATTCATCCAGATCATATTGAGCTGATTTAAATCTACAGGAAAAATTGAATGGGATGCAGTAGATACTTGGAAAAAAAACCCCCTTCAAACTATCAAATAGTTTGACTACAACATAACTAGTTTCTTTTCTTTTAATTATTTGCAGCAAATGTGTTTTATATAGCTTATTTTAGGGAAAACAAGGGCTAGGAATACCTTAGCTCAGTCAATAGTAAACTTAAAGGTAAATCCATCCAGGCTTTTTTCACTTGGAAAATGTAGAATCATGATACAGATTTTTGAAGGAGATAGAATAAAAACAGAATGCAATGGCAGCTGGAGGAATCCTTCCTTTCTGAATGGAATGGTTATGCTAGATCTTGTTATTCATAGCTTAACAACCCTCAGCTTCAGGGGATTCAACTTGTGATGACATCAGGACGCTCAGGCTATGTTTATTATAACCTCAGATGTTGATGCAGAATTGTAACAATACATTTTTGGTGGTGATATAAAAATAGAGAACTGGTATGTGAAGATACTGAGGAGACACATTTGGTTCATCTCATTTATTTATATTCAGAGGTCTCTCTTCTCTTTCTGAAGTGATATATACATTTGTAGTCAAATTTTTGTTTTACCAAAATACTTAACCAGGCAGTGATTTCCTCTGCTGGACTTCAAATATATTCTTTTTACAAAATAAAAAACTTGTATCATCTTTTTTATATACACAGATGGTTGGATGAGAACCAGCTTTAAGACCTCTGGATTTGTGGAATCTGTGTGCTTAGAGTCACCTTCTACAGCTGTCTTCAATTAAATAGGTGTGATACATCCAATATCTACTGCCCCTGCTGCATACTGTAGGTGTCAAAATGCTCCTGTGATTGATTTCTAAAAACCTGGGCTTACATATATACACACCATACACTGTAACATTATTAATGCTGTAAAATAAAATACTCAAAAGGCACAAATTCTAGCTATCCATCTCATGCATTCAGTCAGCGGGCAAAATCATGAAGAGAAGAACAATAATAAAACTTAGTCTGTAGCATAGTATATACTCACATGCTCAACCAAACCAGTGTTTATCAAAGTAATCTCTTGTCATCTCTGTATTATTCAGTGAGTCCAAGATTTCACCCAAGGTTTAATGTAAATTCCTTCTTTATGTTTCTCTACTATTTATGAATGTCTTAATGTTTGAGATTTAACTGGACATTTTTTCAGTGGCTTTCTTGGTACAAAGGCAATAAAGCAGGTTGGTACAATCAATGC